TTAGACACAAGCTTGCCCATCAACAGCTCAATCCTCCTAACGCTTGTAGACACCTTCTCTAACTCTTTTGGTTCATTTGACATTTAATTACTGTCTCAATATTTTAAAAACTTCTCATCTGCAATTGAACCTGGATACCAACTCCTTTCTGTCTTTTATTCAATGACAGATAATTGCTACTTTTAATTTTATTTATTTATTTGCTAAAATCTCTAGTGGAAAAAACAAAGAAAGGAATTTGAAACAGTCTGAGCGTGTCTCTCTAAGAACAAGTCTCACAGCCACCACAGTACACATGGAGCTGTGTCTAGGCACTACATGTAACTACAGTCAAACTTGGAGAAGAAAACATAACAGCTGAATTACTAAATGCATTTAAGTATGAAAAAAAAATTTTTTTACTTTTGTTTTCAACCAAGAACATTGGGTTGCTTTTATGTTTTTGATTTTCATTTCTTTCTGATCAGATTTCTATCTGATTAATATCTCGAAGCTCAAAAATCTGGATATCAAGCAAACATCAACTTTGGATTAATTTTCCTACTTTTGGTGGAGAGCAGAGAAATTTTCTAACAAAGATTGGGAAGCTCAGACTCTTGGCACTGAAATAACACGTGGAAGTAGTACGAACCTCCTCTCTTCCTGCTTGCCCATCACTTGGCAGGTTGTCCCACTAGGAGTGGACTAGGGAGGCTAAGAAACAAACCTGTTACTACCCTGCACCTGAAACATTTACCCCCACCAGCTGCTTTCAGTTACTCCCCTACCACCTTTTCCATCAATCTGCATCCTGCATCCTCATTATTATCTTAGAGATGAATACTTTAATAAATTGTAACCTAACAAAAAGATAATAGGGTAGCAGTAAGCTATTTACATGTGCTATAACAGATTCCTAAGAACTAAAATTCTCAGGGACAGTGGGACTCACATAATGGGGTAATACTAGCACACTTCTGGAACTTGCTGCACCAATGCCAGGAATAAAAGCTTGAGCACTAACCATCTACTGATTTTTTGGGTGAATCTAACCTGGGAAATGCTCTGGCTATTCCTGCCTGATGGGCTTGTTCCTGAAGACTATCTCAAAAATAGCATTTCATGCTGGAGAGCTGCATTTCAGATCTTTCAGGAGAACTCGAACACCACACCACATGGGGCCAGACAACTAATCCTACAATACAGAGTCATGTTAGCCTTTGTCAACAGGCTTAGTACACAGGTCACTCCGAAAGTAATGCCTCCTATCCATTCCCCTGGAAATAAGACACTCTTTTTCAACATAGTCACCACCATCAGCTATGCATTTTTGCCACTGATATTGAAAGCCTGCATGCCATGCTCGTAACAATCTGCACCAGTGGAGGTGACCCAGTGTTGCTGTCGTCACCGCTGAAACGCAGCACCCAACCCCACACTGTGCTGACATCCACTGTTTGGCCACCATAAACATTCAGCAAGTGTTGATGAATGTCAATGGGTGTCAGTTTCTATGCATGGAGGAATTTAACTCCACATGCTTGCTTCATCTGTATTTCTATGTCAGCTGCCAGTTTGTCAGACTGCCCCTCCTGCTGCCATCTGTCACACAGCAACAAAACAGAATGGAATATTTTGGGAAGTTTGAACTTCTACTGTTATACCACCAACATCCACCTCTCATGCTGTGGGCCATCATATACTAGTCTATCTAGGCAGCTCATACTCATCATTACAGGTCGGCTTTTAGTTCCAGCTCTGGTGATATATTCATAGTTCTGCTCAGATAGAACCCAGAGGGGAACTCTCTCCATCCTTTGTCCAGTCCTGCTGGCAAGCAAAGCAGCAGAGCCAGCCCAAAAAGAGACTCTAGAAGCTTGCTTGTGTGCTTGCTGCAGAGTCTCTGGGCAAGAAACTGGACAGGCAAGCAATGGGATATGGCACAAGCATACTTGTCACCCTGCTTCCAGGGGTCATGGACCCAAAGGACACCAACACTCAGCCCAGGCATGCTCAATTGGAGCAGAGCATGGCTGTCCGTACCTCAGGCTCCTCCCCAGCTGAGCCACGTGGTCAAACACTCCTATACCTCAACAAGTCCAAACTTTAGGCAGACAAGAAAACTGGGAGCCGAGCTCCGATAGCGGTGTGCCTGCCATGGGTATGTCCACCCGTGGAAGGGAATGGTACCTTTAACTTAGCTGTATGAGCAGGCAGGGGAAACAATAAGTGCTGAAAATTACTCATGTATACTCAGGTATTCAGGTGCAGCACAGATCATTTCATTAAATGAAAACATCAGGAGGGATTTACAACTTTGCTATGATAATCATAAAAGTAAGTAATAAAAATGTAGTATTTTAATGAAATTATTTGCTATTTGTTGGTTTTGATAGTACTTGGGTACTTACCTTACTCTCAAGTAAGATTATAAAAGCCCTGTACGGAAGTTAAGGAATGTATTTTTACTCAAGAATTAAACTGTTTCTTAACAACTATGAACGGACAACAGTTCTATTTCCAACATTTTTCCTTCAGTATTCTATGCCCTGCATATGCTAAAATTCAGAATCACGGATCTTTTTTAATTAGCTGTTAGAACAAGGTCCAATTCATTTGTCAGAATGAGCGTAACAAAAACTGAGGATTAATTTTAGCATATTTTGGAATGTGTTATTAGAAAGAGATGATGAAATTTGTTCAGAGAAAAGCAACGCCAGCCCAAGTTTCTGGCTTGAAGCCATTTCACCCTTGTAACAAGTGAACCTCTCCTCCACCTAGTCCTGTCAAGCAGAATATAGCAGAGCAGTAACATCCACTTCAGATGAAGAATTTGTTGTGCACTTTTAACGTTGTAAAATCTTCCCTCTTAACAAAATATAATCAGAACTGTGATTTCAGTGAGAAGAGGGGAGTACACTGATACAGAGCCTGTACAGCCTATGATGTCCCTACTGCAAAGAGATTTCTGAGCTAATTCCAATGGAAGATGCTTCTCTTTAAAAACAGCCAAAAGGTTTTCAGCAATATTCAGTGTGCCTACCTCATGGCTAAAATCTGTTGCACTACTGCAAGTATACTGAGAATGCTCAATCCCTTAATGGCACTTGTACCCTCTCTGTCCTTTCTCCATTTGTTTAGAAGGATCCCTCTTGCAAGAAAGAAGAAAGTAGTATCTCTGCTCTACAAGGGCCTTAACAGAAAGTTAAGGAAAGGGAAAGGCACAAAAATGCTTAAGTATTCATTTGTATATGTGACAGTCTCTTTAAAACTACTTCTGTGCTCAACATATCAAGGAGGGCTATTTAAAAGTGGTACCAACAATACAAAGCTACAAGGGTCAATGGAACATGAAGAACTTCTTCACTTTGAGGGTGACAGAGCACTGGACCAGGTTGCACGGAGAGGTTGTGGAGTCTCCTTCTTTGGAAACATTCAAGACCCATCTGGACACCTACCTGTGCAACCTGCTGTAGGGAATGCCTTAGCAGGGGGTTGGACTCAATGATCTCCAGAGGTACCTTCCAACCCCTACAACTCTGTGATTCTGTAAATAACTATGACCACAGAATCATGGGGCACAGAAGGGATTTCTGTAGACTACCTAGTCCGATCCCACACTAACACGTGTTACCCAGAGTAGGTTGCAAAGCAAAGTGTCCAGGCAGGTCTCAAATATCTCCAAAGAGACTCCATGACCTCCCTGGGCAACCCGTTCCAGTGCTCCATCACCCTCAAAGATGTTTTTTTCTCATGTTCTCAGAGATATTTTCCGTAAGAATTTTTAAAAATGCTTGATTTAAATAAAGCCTGGAAAGACTTCACTGTAAAGCATTACTTGTTTAAGAATGTGAACTAGTTAAGTCTGAAAATGAACTTGGCATGGAAGAAACAGGGCAATAAATAGGACTGTGACCCTGGGTTTCAGGAAAGTCAATTTTGATCTCTTAAATCCCATGTGAACATTGGAGGGTAAGGGGAACCCAAGAGAGCTGGTTAAATATCAAGCCTTCTTCCATGCTCAAGATCAGTGTATACCTAAGAGTAAGAAATCAGGCAAAGGTGACAGGACACCACATGGGATGAGCAAATGGAAAAACTCATCTGGAAGCAGAAAGTTTATGGAATATGGAAAGAGGGTCTGTCCACTGCAGAGGAATATAGGAACACTGTCAGGGCTCACACAAATGCAGCAAGAAAGGCTGAGGCCCACTTAGAACTACCTCTGGTGAGGGAGATCAAGAACAAGAAACAAGAAATACTAATAGCAAAATGAAGGCTGCTGCTGGCTGGGTAAACGACAGAAGAACAGTGGATATAGGGTACACTGACTTCAGCTTGACACTGGTTTTGGACAGTGCCTCCCACTGCATCCTCATAGGCAAGTTTAGGAAGTGATGGAAGGAATAGATGAGTGGACACTGAGGTGGACTGAAAATTGACAGACTATCAGCGCGTAGAATGTTGTGACATACTACAAACACAGAGTTCAGCTGGAGTCCTACAGCTGGCAGTGTTCCCCAAAGGAACTGGTTTTTAATATCTTCACCGGTGACCTGGATGAAGAAATAGAGCGCGCCCTCAGCAAGTTTGCTAATGGCACAAAGCAGGGAGGGATGACATGCCAGGAGGCTGTGATACCATTCAGCAAAACCTGGACAGGCTGGAGGGCTGGGCGGAACGGAATCTGATGAGGTTTAACAAAAGCACATGTAAAATCCTACATAGAATAACTCCACACATCAGTACAGATTAGGTGCTCTGCAGAGGAGGATGTAGGTATCCTGATGGACAACGGGAAGACCATGAGCCAGCAGTGCACCCTTGTGGCCAAGAAGGCCAATGGTACCCAGGAGTGCATTAAAAAGAGCACGACCAGCAGGTAAGTGAGGTGATTCTAAAGTAACACAGGGCCTATCAGACCAGTCCTGAAATACCTTGTACTTAATGCAATATTATTGCATTTTCATATAAGCTTACAATTGCATATGTGTTTTGGAGAAGAAACTTTACAGGAACTCTTAAATATCCCAATGATATTTTTATTATTCATTTGAGCATTTTTGTACATCACACAGAGCTTAAGAGCATGACTATAAAAATCAATCACTACCTTTATTTACCTTTTCAATTCACAGAAGAGTTTAAGAGCTGAGCAACTTACACAAAAGTGATAGTACTTAAGATTTTCCAAGGTCATGACAATGGTAAATAACTCTTACATTTAATTCTTGATGTTAAGAACTATGAACTTCATCAGGCACAGAGGCCCTTTAAAGTAACTTTTTTAACATTCTTCTAGAGTCTTTTTCTTTATTACATTACTTGACACATTTACATTTTCAGTTCTGAGCTGCCCAATGATCTCAACCCATTCTGTACTTCCCACAACACACACAAGCAACTGCAGGCATCCATTTGGGTCCCCTCTTCTCTGAGAATAAAGTCAGACCATGAGGTGAAATCTATCAGATTGTGTAAGTATATTCTCAACATTTCTATGTAAACAGAAGTCAGAAAACCTTCAGTAAGGGCAGTATTTCCTTCAGAATAATAAAGAACAGATTTTGTGAGAAATGTAAAGAGCCAACGCACTCAATACAATACTCTACTGTAATTCCCTCGAAGACTGAAATACAGCATTAATGTTTGCTACAACAGCATTTATGTATAGTGAACTGTCTTAATGAATAGGAAGTAGAAGTGATTTATTGCGAAGAGTAGATTTTAGACAAACACATATTTAGAAGACCAGTTTGCTATGATTTTATTTAAATGAGTTTGATGTTTTCATGCAATATTCACACTTAAATAATCATGACAAACAACAGAAGTGGTAAAAGAATGCACTACTTATAGACCTTATTGAATATACAAAAAACTCAGCATTATAGGTCATACTTCCCCAAAATACTGCAGCAGCCAAAACACAGTGATATGCCTTACAAGGGCATAGGAATGTAGCTCAGAAATCACACAGGAACTACCCATTTCCTTTAATTTCACAAACAAGACAAAAGCAATGTTCAACCCCACACATTGATTTTTCCAATAATGTTTATACAGTACCTTGAGTTTTACTCAAATACTAAAAGTCAGACATATCATTTATTTAGTAAACAAGTATGTGGTAAACGTCTATTACATTTTCCCTTGGTTTTACCTGGAGTAGCCATGTTATTTAAAAGTGGGCAGGTTTGGCACTTTTATACTGATGTCACCAATATTAATATTTCTTGGGATCTCTGGCAGATTCATATTCTTTACAGCTGAAACAGCCCGGGCTGGAGCTCCTGCTAAACCAGCCTGTGTACAAAGTGAGGAAAAACATAAGTCAGGAAAAGCTAGATACAAGAGCATTCAATAGCAATACACACAGACAACTGATGTTCTCAAGTATTTCCATGGTTTTACACAATTAGAAAGACCACATGGTAATTGTGTTTGGAATGAAATGGGTTATTTGGATATATTAATCCAGAAAGAGAAAACAGTTCACACATTTCTTCTTTTATGGTAAAACATATACTGTCAACTTGATGGAAATGTATGCAGGGAGGAACAGGAGGCTTATCCACCTGTGTGTAATGCATAGGTTATTGAAGATACAATCTTGAGACACTTAAAGCCCAGTGTACTATCTTTGTTTCTCATCTATACTAAGAGTTCACACTGATCACAGTTGACTAATGCTGGCTTCAGGCTCAGTACGTGTAACCTCAAAGTTACAAGTTACCCAGTGTCAGTTAAACCAAATTACTTATCTACAAGCATATGAATATGAGGTAATTCAAGGTGGCTTGGCCTGAAATGAAAAGGATAAAATCTTTGTTTTTAGGTGATACAGATTTTATTTTTATTATTACTAATAAATTTAATATATTTATTGTTAATAATAATTCTTTTTTATATTTTTATTTTGGTCTTTACAAGCAGGCTTAAAAATATTCACAACCACAGAACCATAAAAATGATCTTCAGAACCACTACAGTTGTACACTGTAGCATCTTGCAGGCCTTGTAAAAAAAGGAGCAATCTACAAGAATCTAAGCAACATGTCAAGAACTGGTTAAGAAAGACTAAACGTAAACTGATGGTCTTTCTTTAAATTTGATTTGACTTAAGAGTGTCAAGGACTGAAGAAATCAGTGCACTTGGACACAAAGTAATTCTGAGGAATAAATATGGCACTTCAAAAGGAGAAAAACTTCTGGAAAAGTTTTCTATCTCTACCTTTAATTATTAAATAATGTTTGTAGGTAACTACTGCTCAGTGTATAACCTTTCCAGATTCAAATTCTTCACTGAAATTCATTGTAATTACAAGGGTGTAAGGAAACTGTGGAGTAAGTTCCAGTTCTTTGGTGCCCACCTCCACAGCTACACAAAAGGTGACAGGCACCTCATACACTCCTGAGATAACAACACTGAAGACTGTGCATAAATACTTCTTCCCTTTTACTACTCTCTTAATAAAGAAGTGAATGTGAGGTCAAATCAACATTAGGTTTCCACTATAAACCCTACCTACAGTTCAGCTGCAGATACGTATGCTATCTCCTTGTCCCTTCAAAAATAAAACCCAGGGTTAAACTAAAATCAATTTTAAAGTTTCTGACTTCGAACTAAAACACTTATACCATGTGGAAAAGCTGGAGTCTTATAAATCCCTAGGTGTCAGTCACAGGAGGATTCTCAGTACCAGGAACACAGACCAGAAAGCCACAAGTCACCTGCTGCATACACACCCTGCCAAACCCATATCAGATGTGCCTACGTTGGGAAAAAGATGAGGAGGTAGAGGAGAAAGCTCAGGAAATCTTAAATCTCTTATAACCAAATAGTTTGCTCTCACTTGGTCCCTCACATAATCCCAATGATCAGTTTCCAGCTGTATGGCTAACTACATCTGCAAAAGTGCAAGGAAATATTTTTAAAGCCTCTTTTTCCTCAGTTTCCGTTCGTATCACCAAGTGTTCAGGTCATGTAATTCAAAGCTTTCAGTTTCAATCCCTTCATGAAGGGGCAGCTACGGACCTAACACTAGCAGTATTAGGAAATGCAAGTCTCCAAAATCTGTAACCTTTAATCTGCCATGTCTTAAAGAAACAGCATTAGAACACATCTTTGAGGAGAAACAAAAATGGGGCAATGTAAACTGTTTTCCATAGAGGAGATGAAAATAATAATAAAGTAGTAACGAAAGCAATGAATTATACAATCTGTAACTGAAACAGTGAGAAACCAGAAAAATATCATTAAGTTATGGGCATGGTCCACACAAACAGGCATGGCTGGCAATTCGAGAGAGATGTCTTCTAAGTGACTAGGATGGAAAGTCTTTACCCTTACTTAATGAAAGTTAATTACTCTTAATGAACAAATAAAAGTTTTAGTACAACTGGTCATCACTTTTACCTACCTGCAGCTATCCTCTTTACACAGACTTACAGTCCCTGCCTCCCGCCCCAATGGCATAGGATACAATGGAGACACAATTGAGAATTATTCAGGACACCACAATTGACATGACCACTGCTCTTTCTCCCCCTCAGACTTCCAACAGTCACATTTCTTTAGGATCATTTTGGATGGGGATCAACAGAGATCCCTAACAAAAGTACTACGAATTTCAGATCACACCTTTTTTTGGAAAGCAAGATTGTCCTTCACTGCCATATACTGCAGTGGAGATTTTCTTATAGACCTTAGTTACCCACAGTGGCAGTCTTTTCTCCTGTTATTGTCTATATTAAGTCGTTCAGTGTGTATAAATACGCACAGCACAATGCTGTTCATCAAAATTCATGTCAACTCTATGAAGGATAACACACGGTATTTCTGAGAGCAAGAATTTGTAAAAAATATCTAACAAAACTGAGTATACTGATTAGTACTTAAACGTCAGAACTGGATAACTAATACATTATCCCAAACATGATTACATCTGCATTTATGTAGTCCTTTCATTTATTTATCCTTTACTGAAAGTGAAATATTTTAGAAACACAAAGATTCTACAGAGAGATTTTCAGACCATTGTGGTTTTGAGCAGCTTTATAGAGGTACCTGATTAAAAGGGCCACCTCTGTGACATTGCATTGGACATGTTTCAACTGCCTTTATTACGAAATAATTCAGCAGGTATCTTGGTGAGGTGCAAAGAAAAACTGTTTCACTTTGAACAAGAAATCAAAACACACACGCTTTTATCATGCAGTGAATGATGGATTGTCTGTCACAGCAAGCAAATGACTTGAGCAAGTGAAAATGAAACTTCTGATGACACGTTAATGAAATTTCAGAAATACAGTACAAATTGCATAAAGCTGGTATTACAAATAGCCAATACACCAGATTTCTGCCATAGCTGCTCTGTATTCTCAAATTCCTTTCTTATCAAAGGTTGTACTTGAATCTTGAAATACTGTATATTATTATTTTAGTTACTGCAAAAAAAAAAATGCTTGTGAACATGGTTATACACTTTTAGAGCAAAAGAACAATGTCATAAATGCAAAATAATGCTATTTTAAAGATTGGAATAGAAACATTTAATAACAAGTCTTGTTCTAACAGTCCTAGTACATAAAGTGAGAAATATTAAATGTTGCTAGTTTGCCTAGGTCATTATTTATTGTTATGGGTATTAATTTTCTTTATTGTTATCATCATTTTTTCTTATAATGCCCCACTAGTAGCACTACATGAAAGTAAACCCAGAAACACTGTTTCACTAAAATAAAAAATAAAAAATAAAATAAAAAAATCAAACTGGGAAAAGCACTGTATATCACAGATTTATTTCTTATGTACATTGAAAAAAAAAAAACCAATTCAGACTTCACCCCAAACAGAGCTAGCTATCACTAGAATAAGCATTTAGAAATATACAACCTACTGGAAAACAAAATAATGCAGGCTAAAGCTTTGCAAAATAAGCCATCCTTTTCTGAGGTATGCTGCAGGTACAAGGACCTCTCTGCTGCTAGTGTTTCATACTGGTGCTTCTTTCTGGAACAAGTATGACTTCAAAGCAGCAAGATTATGAAAGAATGAAAGGATGCAATGCATAATATAAAGGAATGATTATGTCCTCTGCTTATGAGGTTAAATAAATGAACATAATTAGAGAAAAAACAAAATGAAGTCTGAAGGAATATCAAAATGAGGCCAAACAGATAAGAAGACTTAAGGACGTACTCTTAGAAATTTTAAGCACTTGAATCACAAAGAATAATGGATGGGAATGATTTTCTTTTGTTTGTTTATTTTTCATTGCCAGACCCAAAAATAAAAACAGAACATGTGTGAGCAGAACACAGAACACACAAATAAATAAATAAAATAAAACCTGAAATCAAGCTCCCTACCACTACAATGACACATGGATTATACGTTTCAGGTGTTGACATGTTAGGCAGAAGAAGGTAACTTCTTTGATTTTCATGTGCTGTAACATACTCCAAATTTAGGTTAAAAGTTTCATACTACCCAAAAATGGTTTTGGCTAACGCTTTATAATTTACTGCTACTAAAAGCAATTACAGAAGTATATTTACTAAGTCTTAAAGGCTTTTCCTGGAAAGATCATGTAAAATCCAAGAACAAAGTTATTTATAAATTAAATAAACTTTGTCTGCATAAGCTCCAGATATTTAAACTACCTGAAGTTCAAATACATAGATACTTAAAATGAATGGAAATGAATTTTGAAATAGTGCCACTAATGTTGACTGACATTCAAACCATTGAGCTGAACTAAACGTTTTCAACAGCAAATGACAAGGGGGACAACAACCAAAACTGAACTTCAAACATACGTTTTTCTCCTCCTTTCCCTGTTGTATTCAGTGACCAGGGGTACCAAGATACCTTAAAGCAAAATCTGGCCATTCAGATGATAAGGGCAGCAAATGTACATCTGAAGTTCTGCACATGGCAACCACCTTTTTCATTTTACATTTGACACACTTAAGGATTCACAGAAGAATCTTGGTATTTCTTCATCGTCTTTACAAATCAGACTGATGATTTCATTTCACATGTATAAAACTGGATTGGCAAGTTTTCTTTTCAAGTTTGGTTTACCTGAAATTTACTCTAACACTTAATTTCTCTTTGAAAGCCGGTTGTTTGCTTTTATTTGGAGGAGAATTCTTCCTTCCCAGTTTAGATTTTCCTATCAGAAGGGTATTTTGATTGTATCGTCACACTGTGTTTTGCTATCCTTGTATTCAATTTCTATTCAGATCAGTTTTGCAGCTTTTTTAAAAATTCATGCAAGTTCATGTTTCCTTGTTTCTTAAACAATGATACAAAGAAAAGTTAAATTCTAAAATGCAGCAAGAGAAATAAAATAAAAAATATGATGTCAACGGAAAGCTAGTAAAATACACTATAGCCAATAAAAAGATGAGGGAGCTACAAGAAGAAACTAGCACAAAAAGTAGGCTACATAGACTAGTATGGGTATTTTTACACATAATTTTTGAGTCTGGCCTACATGATTTATTGCCTTTGACATCATTTTGCTTTCCCTTTTTGTTAAAAGTACATTTTTTCTCAAAGTCAGCAATACCTTTGTCTACCTGTCCTGTCTGGGAGACTGAAAGATAAAGGTCTGTAAGAGAGAAGAATGAAAGAGCTAGAAAAGATCAGGATGTTCGGAAAAAAATGAGGTCCAACTTAAAAGTCTAAATCACACATAGTTGAACACTCCAAATAGAGAAAAGGTAGCACAGATTTACCTACAGTAAGTTCAGAGGCACTGGATAAAATCCCAAAGATCCCTCTCCCAAAAATTCCCCCTCTTAATCACAATGATCAGTCGGCTTTAGAAGACTTGACCAGAAATCCATTCACAGACAAACACTAACACTTTAAGGTAAGGAAATGTAGTAAAGACAACATTTCTCAGAATAAAAAAGCAATTTCCTTCATAGCTCATCCCCACAACATTAGGAGCTGAATGAGAAATCAAAGGTATGGATGCCATCACAGTAATTTAAACAAATAATCTCTGCTGAAAGGATCAAGAAATCCTTTGAGCTGATAATATTTACAAATATTTGTAAATTAAATAAACATGATTTAACTCCTTTGCTAAGCTCCAATTGACAGTCTCTTTTGAAACCCAACGTAAAACTAATCAAATGTCAAATGGCTTTACTATGGAAAGTTGGGTGGGTACACTATGAAATTTAGAATATTTCTGTAAATGGAGCTCACTTACAATTGTATAGCATTCATCTCTTTGGGCTACAAACACGAAGGCAATCAATCTTTACACAGCTATTTTATGGATGCAAGAACCACAAGTGAGGTCGAAGAAGCTGAATAGAGTAACGTGTGAGTGCTGTGGCATAGGTGGCAGTCCTATGAACTATGGACGAAATAAACGAAAAAATCTGACTTTTAAAAAATGTTTTATTCTTTTTGAAGAAATAAAACTAAAAGGATCTGCTAGTTTTGATTTCTTTGTGTCAAGCATTAGAAATATTATTAATGAGTTATTACCACTTTTTATTTACACAAGCTGAATTTGATACTCTGTTGGAAGGACATGTTCAGGAAAGACATGTTGAAAGATTTACAGTCTTGATCAAAAAGGCAAAAGGAAAAGAAATAGCAACCAGATAATTTCTGATGAGATTCATGCAACAAATGATTAATGGAACTATTTATCAGGTATTGTGAAGTATCACAGTATTACAGTAACTGCTACATTTGAGAAGAAACAGTCACTGAGTTAAAAAAATGAATTTCTGGTGAGCAGGACTGACTCTATTCCAGTCACCAAGTGTTTCTGTTTATCACTGCTGCTTCTTTGCCTTCTATAATTCACTGCTGAACATAAAAGAGTAAGTTGCTATTTGCCCTGCACATACTATGACTTCTAGGCTTTGTGTTTTGTTTTGTACTGGCTTTTTTTTAAATCTTCTATGGCCTAATTTTCTTCCTAAGTACCTTAAAAGAAAGAATGACTTACTGGTGGGTAATGGAAAACATAAAACATTGTAAATGCATTTCAGGGCCTAGTGAGAGACTACTCTCCAGACAGTTTGGTAACAGAATAAATATAATTAAGGAAAAACACTTCAATTAAACACTTTTAGTTGAAACTTGTATGTGCATTAACACATGGTAGAACACAGCTGCTTATTAAGTTCAGCTTTTGGGATACCATGTTAGTCTTCCATCAAAAAAATAAAGATAAATGTATTCAGAGATTACTCAAACATAGCAATAATTTACTAGATTTCCATGTAATCAACAAGTCATTCTAAGTTTGCAGATGTTAAAATGAATGTATTGGACATCTTCAAAATCTGTAATGCAGTCTTTCTCAACATATGCTGCCAGGCACAATGTCATATCATGCACAGCTTTTTACAAAGCGTTGCTCTGTTCTTGGAAATAGCTTGGAAGTAAAACAGACAACTTAGTGTACCAAAAGACTCAAGATGATGCAATGTGAGATTCTAGAATTAGGAGAACAGTATACATTGTACCACAAAAAAAAAAAAAAAAAAAAAAGTCTGACAAATTAACTTCTCTTCTGGTTCGTAAATCAAAACTAGAAAGTTCTGTGTCTTCCTCTCAAATGTCATGTAGTTCATATTTATGCCACCTGTGATTCTTCAATCCATTCAGCTGACCTCAGATTTAGAAAGAGTCTCCAATTTAAGCAGAAGTTTGCTTTCAAATTTGAAAAATAAGCTCTGAAAATCAGATTATATGTTCTTTTGTAGAACTACTCTGATCAGTAAGAATCATTCATAGCCTTAGCTAAGATATACTGTTGATATTTTAGCTAACATGACAAGCCTGATAATGTTTTTAAAAAGTAGCATTTAGTCACATAGCTAAAATAATTCTGAAATCCCTTCTCATTCTAGATTTCTCTCCTAAACACAAATTCAACAGTATAAAAGGCAAGCATTTTAATATCCAGATTCACAAGCTGCAAAGTTTAACATGGAATTACAAGTACATCTTGTCATCTGCTCCACAAGTGTGCATCTTTTCTACTTGACAAGAGGAAAGGGATTCCCTCAAGTTACACAACTGTCCCTTCTCAGACTAGTATGTACACACAGCAAATTTCATCTTCTCTCTGGAGTCCGCTCAACTAACAACAAATGTTCATATTACCAACAGGACAGAATTCATATTTAATTTAAAGTGCCTACAACTGGGTTGTAATTTCTATCAAGTCCAATTTATTATTTTACGTTGCAGTATTTTTGTGCATTTAATATACTGCCATTTATTTCAGCAGATAGAAGCATACTAGTAGACAGGAATATGTTATCTACACACTTCAGATCTTCATATAAATTTATTTGTTGTAATGATTAGTGATTTCCAACACAGTAAATACTCTGGAAATAAAATGCTTTCTGCAAGAGAAACTCACAGAACTACAGGTGTATCTCAATAGCAACAACATGTTCTGCTACTAGATACACAGAGCAAAATCTAAGCAGCAACTCCTCTAAGCAATTACTGCATATGCAGAAAAGCTACAGTATACTAACTTAATGACAGATTGTGAATTTTCTCTATTTATAAGCAAGCAGCTTGAAGGATAAGCAGTTTTATACAGCATGCATTTACTACAATCATGTTTTTAGTTTAGACACTACACAGCACTGCTTCATTCTTACCTCAGATTTTTCCAGTTTATTCTGAGCATCAATCTGAGTGACAATTTCATTCATGTTGGTCTCCAGAACCATTCCACCCATAACCATTTCAGCCAATATATTATGGACCTAAAAAGAAGACCATAAGAAAATTCTAAAACATCCTATACACAGCTGGACAGATGATGTCTAAATTCATCAATCCAAGAGCACCTACATTCCATCAGTCAATTAATCTTAGCACATTCTTTGAAACAATCTGGGCACGAAGCTTATAACATGCTGTTCACAACCTCAATATGCTTTTTGCTCATAGTTCTTTCATCACAAATCTCAACAGCTATACCACTTTGCCTATCAATGCCAGCCAAATGAACTTTGTCCTTCATCTTTCTTTTAGTATGCTTTCTACCCAAGGATATTAGAACAAGAGTTGTACTTATTGTCAGTAGTAAAGCAAAGAAGCAAGCTCTAGAATATTAACAAATTTCTCAGAAACAGTTCTGTAAATCTGTGAAGGATGAGAGGCATAATGACATTCACTCACAGTTACCAAGGGTAGGCTTGGAAGCAGAGGTAATACATCTGAACATAGGAAATCGCAGAATCATAGAATCACCAAAGCTGGAAAAGACCTCCAAGATCATCCAGTCCAACTGTCCGCCTACCACTGGTATTTCCCACTAAGCCATGTCCCTGTTCAGAGATTTTTCCTAACATCCAACCCAAACCTCCCCGGCACAACTTCAGGTCGTTCCTTCTCATCCTATCAGCAGTTACACAGGAGAAGAAGCTGCCCCCCACCTCACCACAACCTCCTGTCAAGGAGTTGTAGAGAGTGATAAGGTCTCCCTTGAGCCTCCTCTTCTCCAGACTAAACAATCTCTGTTCCATTGACCACAGACATGAAGACTTCAGCATCTAGGACCAGGACAGATAGTCAGGATTGAAACTGAAAGATTGAGTGAGCCTAACAATGATGTTAATGAAATTGGTGAGTTTAAAATTCTTTTTGCCTGTAACTCTGGTTTCAGAATGTGAGCTTTGGTTCACAATCCTCTGAGTCAGTGTCTGTATTTGCAGACCTGACAACTTTTTCTTTTTTTTCAAATGCATGCTTCTACACACTTTTTACCAAAACTCTTCACCAAATACATAATGTAAAATTTTGCAAGCCCACTATAATCCTGAAGACGCATAGGGTACACATGATTACTTTTATGAAATAAAAAAATTGTACGCTATGATACTTCAAAGCATAATTCTGCTATTACTCAAAATATTCTTGCAATTTCCCTGTAGATCAAGGACAGAAGTAAATCCTTCAATCAGGCACATCCAACCTGCAGCCTGTGGGCCCCATATAGCCCAATGCACAGCTCCAATGCAGCTGGTCCCCAGCCCTGTGACATCAGTGCACAGCTCAGCCCCACCTGGAAGCCCAGCTCCTCCACACCAGCCCAACATCAGTGTGCAGATATTACTCGTGAATTTTCAGATATAGAGTTGCAATCTAAAATGTGATCATGTCTCCTTACCAAACTTTTATAAGACCTCTCTTTCCAGAGAGAAATATCCCTCACTTCCCTATCACACTTTATTCAAATCATTGCTTTTGACGCTATATACATTTGCAAACAACTATTTTGAAGGACAAAGTATAGAAAGAGCAAATTATTACCAAAACTCTACTTAACATCTTGAGAACCGACTAAGAATTGCAACCACTGCCATCAAACCAACCTGACACATTCGTTTCACAAAAACAAGGTCAAATATCCTACTATTTATCTGGGGTTTTTTTGCTGCTCTCTTTTTTATGTTTCAATTTAAAAAAAAAAAAAAATTAAAGAAAACAAATTTTGTTACTTCTATCACAGAATCACAGAATCACCCGTGTTGGAAGGGACCTCAAGGATCATGTAGTTCCAACCCCCCTGCCTAGCAGGGCCACCAAACACACACATTCAGATCAGGTTGCCCAGGACCCCATCAAACCTGGCCTTAAACACATCCAAGGACGGGGCATCCACAACCTCCCTGGGCAGCCCGTTCCAGGGCCTAACCACTCTCCTTGTATAGAACTTCCCCCTAACATCCAACCTAAATCTTCCCTCCTTCAACTTGGATCCATTTCCCCTAGTCCTGCTGTTGTCAGCCCTTTTGAAGAGTTTATTCCCCTCCTGGGTATGCATCAACTAGATTGAATATTTAATGAGGGTCTTCTGGAAGTGACACCTCTTGTTTTATTATGTTGGCCCACGATGTCAGAAGTGGATGCTGATGGTATGTTAGCAGAGACTGAACATTCCCACCGGTATTCCATTCCATGTTGTTGCTATGTAAGAGATGGCAGCAGAAGGGCAGTCTGACAAAACGCTGTCTGACATGGAAGTGCGTATGAAGCAAAGGTGTGGAAATGAATCTCTCCATGCAGAAAAAAATGGCACCCATCAGCATTCAGCAATGGGTGAACAACTGCATGGTGCATTTCAGCAGTGGTGACAGTGACAGTGAGTCACTTCCACTGGTATAGATTTTCACAAGCAGGAGAGGCATACAGGCTCTCTTTTGTCAGTGGCAAAAATGCATAGCTAATGGTGGTGACTTTGCTAAAAAACCGTTCTGTAGCAGAAAACCTGCTCTATCAAACTGTTATTGTGCTCTTTGTATCTGTTGTCGTTTCCAGTGAAATAAATATGAGGCATTACTTTTGGACATACACATTACATATGTATGTCACATGGCCCAAGCAAGCCAAAAGGTTGGACATAATATGAAAGTGATGCAAAATAATTCTTCTGTCTTGTGATGAAGTTAATTGTAAAGCTTTCTAACATCACAGTATAAACATGGTAATCTAACATTAATACACTCCATGGTGACAATCCAAATGCACTGAAAGGTGTTACCAACATTTACTTCCTTTTACTAAAAACTTACTTTCACTCATTACAGAAGAAAAAGGCTTGCAGCCCTTAACAAACAAGAGTTAGCATCTGCAATGCATGCACACAGCCTTGTGAGTTTGCATTTGGCTATCAACTTGCAAAGAATGATTTTATAAATTACTAATGGAAGTTACAATGTATTCGAAATAATTAATTTTAAAAGAAACCGGTCTTTCAATCAATTCCCATTTCTTCTGACACAGAACACCAACAAGTTAACAACAACCATTATCACAGACCCCATTCCGACAGCACCACATCTGGGCTCTTGGTGGTGGACATACAGACAACCCACTTGAAAGCAGTCTAACTAAAGATGTTGTAGAACAGAGTTTTAAGGCAATTAAAGTTCCTTCTTACTGTCCTCTAGCCAGCAGAGAACTTCACAGAACAAGCCATGGAGCCCTAACAGAAGAGAACAGGAGCATATAAAAGAGCAGCTCTTGGTCTTTTCAGATTGTTCATTTCCATCTTAAAATAATATTTAAAAACGAGTGATACTTTCACCTTCCCCCCAAAAAAGTCTATCAGGTAATTTCTTTCTAACATACTGATGCAACATACTGGAACTCTGATACAACAGACTGAACCGCGTTTCCAATCTACTCCAAAATGACTGAATAGAATAAGCAGTGTTATCTAGTTCACCGTAAGTAGATTAAAAGGTGCACTTAAGAATAAGTGTAATTCCCTCATGTCAGTTTTGGTGGCTACTTATAAAATACAAGGGTAAGCTATTATAGCCTTGTCAACACCACTAATAAAAAAGATCGTTTTTTCCCTCTACAGCACTGACACAGTAAATAAACAAATGTACTAGACTATATTTAAAACACTGTGTACAGTTCAGGAACTAACTAATGCAAGAAAGGCATTAATGAACTGGAGCCAATTCAGCACAGGGCTACCAAGATAGAATAGTCAAAGTGTGCAAAGATGCTGGGGGACCAGAGCTGGGAGCACCCAGCAGCACACCAGTGCTCTCGCAGGGTTTGTGAGCAGCTGGACTGAGCCCTTCTCAGTGGGACACAACAGGAAGGCAAGGGGCTGACACGGGGAAACCTTTCCCCAGGAGTGGAGGAGTCTGGGGACACAGGCTGCCCAGGGCTGTGCAGGCTCCCTCCTGCCTTAGTGGTCTGGTCTTACTCCAGGGCTGACCCTGCTGGCAGCAGGTCCAGACAGCAGCCTGCTCCTGACATCCATATTGGAATTATCCTATGATTTTATGGCACAGGCATGCTACTACATGATGTGGAAACAGTTTCATTAGTACAAACAAATGCTGGAGAGCCAGGAACAAATTCAAATTTCTGGAAGAAGTTAGATGCAGGGAATTACAGACAATTTAAATGTTAGGCAGATGCCTAACATTTGCCTAAAATTAATTGTACCACAAGTAACCTTCAGTATTAGTTATGAGGCACTGAATTCTACAATACGAAAAGCACTTTAAAAACACTTTAAAAACTCAGATTTTATTTTCAACAGCCTGCTAGAAGATGCAGAGGTAATGCTCAAGAGAAGTCACTAAGAGGCCCAGGTAACATCAGCTCAAGGTAGCAGCTGTTCAAGGTGCCCAGAGTAAGTGCACATTTCAGCTCTGTGTGTATCACAATAGAAATTGAAATGACATTTTTATTCAAAAATAATAGAAATAAAAAAAAAAGAAATGAAATTTTTTCATCATTTCCTGATACTCACACATTCACCACAACACAATCTCAAGAGTTTGTAAAAGGTAATATAGCACAGTATTTCAGAAAACTTTTCAAAAATCAGCTATGCATTTTTTAACACAGAATAACATAAGATACAGTGGTAACCAATTAAAAAAGATAAATTATTTGAATCTCTGAATAAAGTAGTTTCACATCAGCATCAGTCTTAAAGGACAGATCACATACCAACATTATTTCTCAACACAGTAAATACTTTCCATAACACTGGCAGATATACAAGCATCCAAACAAATTTCCAGAAGTTTTAGAAAACAATTCCATTAATGTTCACATTTTCCATCACCACTTACTTAGTCTGAAAGAGACACTAGACATCACTGAGGACCCTCGCTTAGCCCAGGAACAGCAATATACTTGTATGACTGGCGTTAACACCCAGCCTTTCGTACATACTGCCATTAGAAGAATAATTAAGACTATAGGCTCTCTCTTTCTCACATACACGAAAAAGCTCATAATCAAGTTGGTAATGTTTGTCTGAATAAACTATTATCATCACAGGCAGACAAAAGAGCAGGGATGTAATTTTTTTTCCACAGCAGACCAGTACGCAGATAAAGACTTGTATTTCTATGATCAAGGCAATACCTTCCTCATTCTTCACAGCCATAAAGAAACAACTTATTTCATTTAGCTTTCATGCTTTTCCTTTATTATCATGATGTGCTCAGAAAGTACTCTATCAAAGTACCATGAATTATGGCTGAACAGATGAGTTCAGTGTTGCTTATCTGGTGTTCAGCATTACAGAATATGTTCATTGTAATATTTACTATTCCAAGATATCAGTTTAAAAAAAAAATGAAACAAAAAAATTTTACTTTTGCTCAAGGATGCTTAAAAAACGTTATTAATCCGAAACAAAATCTATACAGCTCATTACCCAGCTCTAAGCATCCATCAGTTGACACCTTTAAAAAAATCTTAGAACTATGTATCCTGATACATTCTGCTTCTAAATATCTCCAATTTAGGAATTTCTGAAAACAGATTGCTGTTTGTTGTAGTGCTATTGTACTGCATAGCTCATGTCATATTTATCTTTGAGTAATAACTCCAACCACCTTTGAATCTATTCATAGTACCGTGGTACTATGTAATACTAAGGTAACCCTGACAAAAATGTGACAATGGAGCTCCATAGTTTAATAATAAATCATGAAAAATATGTAGTTTTCTTAATTTTATACTTACTTCTATCTGCTAATGTGAGAGAAAGACAATTGTTTGTCTCCTTCCTGCTCACCACATTCAGAATCACAGAATCACAGAATGGTTTGGGTTGGAAAGGACCTTAAAGATCACGTAGTTCCAACCTTCCTGTTATAGGCAGGTCTCCCACTAGACCAGGCTGCTCAAAGGCCCTCCAAACTGGCCTGTGTGAGCACTTGTGAAACCTATGTGCCACTGATTCTGTGATATTCTAACACTGCCAACATTGTTTCGCATGCACTGAAGCCAATTGAGCTGAAGCTCAGTGCGCAGTTCTCTGGTCATAATCAGCTGATTTACATGGATGAGCTGATTGAGATGCTCTTCATTTCACGTGCATGGCTGTCTGCAGTGTGGCTTGTCTTTCCTCCAACAGTTTTCACTGTTAAAACACAATGCCCACTGCCTCACTGTGCTCACATCCACTGTTTGGTCTTCATAAATGTTCAGCAAACACCAGTCAATGTCAGTTGGGTGCCATTTTTTCCACATGAAGTAATTCAGTTCCACACCTTCACTTCATACATGGTAACACTTCCATGTCAGTCACTACTCTGTCAGATTGCCCCTCTACTGTCACCTGTCACACAGCAACAACATGTAACAAATACTGATGTGAAGGTTCACCTTCTGCTGCCGTACCACCAACATCCATCTCTGATGTCATAGGCCAACAAAATAACACAGGAGACATCACTTTCAGAGCAGCCCTTGTATTTTGCAGCTAAAGCTAAAGATCAAACTCCTTGCCATGACTGTATTGTATGATTTGGGTCCCTTAAGCTCGGAAGCTAATATACAAACCATTCATTTTAAGAGTTTCTTTGAACTTAAATATATCGTTTTGGAAGCAACCAAAGCATTCCAGCCAGGCTGAAAATCCTAACGACTTGTCACAAGCTAGTTCAAACACCTACTCAAGATGATTTGCATTTCAGTGTCTGGTCAAGGTGTAACTACTTCTTCAACAAATAATTCCATTATTTGGAAACAAATTTAGTCGGTTTCAGAGAGTAATTTCAGATAGTTGTTAATATTTTTAGACCAATTTTAGTGATATTTGTCTTATTTTCCTTTCATGTCTTCCCACTGAAGCAAAAAGGTGTTCACAGTCAGGGAAAGCAATGGTAGGCACAAAAGGTAACTGAAGTAATAATTATTTATTCATTTCTCAAATTTTAAGTATTACTTGTATCAAGAGATGACAAAGTCATAAAAACTACTGTAAGTTTTCTCAAAACTAGCTTAACAAATAAGGTACATTCCTGATAGCTGGAAGTACTCAAAAAATGTTTGTTTTTAAATGCTTAACAAAGGACATAATGTCTGTTTGAGATTTAGCAGAAGAAGATCCACAGATTTTAAGTTAAAAAAACACAGCATTTGAAAGGCAACTACCAGACATAACAGAAAAACTCCTAAGACACGTTCAGTTCTGAATAATATAACATCTAAACAAAAACAAACCAGAACAAATCCTCTAAGTCCAACTTTGAGAAGTAAAAACAATATTCACAGCTGCAACATCATGTGTGTAACAATGCCACACAAGGCTCCTAAATACATTTTAACTTAGAAAAGTAAGCTCCATACAGCTTTCAAGTTTTAAAAATAACCTCTTTGTAGAATCTGTCTAGACTTCACTATAAAAGCAGCATCACTGCATATTTTAATACTGAGTATCAGTTGAATCAAACATGTTACTTGGCAAGAAATATCACAAGAACTCATCACTGTACCTTGTCTACATGGAAAATTAAATCCAGCTCACAGACATTTTCGAAACATTTGTCTAGTGTTTCCACAAATACCTGAAGAAGAAAAAAAAAGGTCAGAGGTCAAGCTCTAACAGAAACTCAGTAGTTGTTATCTCTAAGGTTCTACGAAAGCAAATATGCCAAATAAACATTGCATAGACTTAAAAACATTAAAAACATCCACAGAAATTAGGTGGTTATCCCTGTTAACAGAACGTTGTTTGTGCACCAGTGGAAAAATTGTATGCAAAGTCAGTGTATGTTGTAACTCTGCTAGAAGACACAAATTTGACAATAACTGCATCTTGGTGTCTTAGTTTCAGCTGGCATGGAAACACTTTCTTTAGAGTATCTGGTACAATACTACATTTTGGTTCGAGGAGAAAAGCAACACTGATGAGGTACCAATGTTTACAGTTGCCTGTTAAGCCAGGGATCTTCTCAGCAAATAGCTCAAGGAGCTGAGAAAGAACAGAATTAGGACAGCTGGCTTACACTGGCTGAACGGATATTTCATACTACATGAAATCAACTGGAAGGCATTCTGAAGAGGGAGGGATGATTTTTTTCTCTTCTGCTGTTCAGTAGGCAAGCTGGACATTGGTCAGGGGTTGGTAAGCAATTGCCTGGGCACCACTTGCTATATACATTAATATATATGTAGCCATGTCTCGCTCCAATTCATAGGAGGGAGAGGAGGTTCTTTTATTATC